CTTTGACACAAGGGAAAGAGAATTGAGATCACTTGTCCTGGTGATCCTGTTGAGAATCTCTGTCACCAGAGCCTCTGGTAGGTCCTCCATCGAACAGACCAAATTCAGCTGGACAATCAGGTAATATATATCAAGGTTCAGAAAAAATCCGAAGAGCTGGACTCAAATTATGATATATCAGATAATGCAGAATTACTACTAATTGCTGAATCTGAACAAGAACAAGAAAGTTTATGGATGAGGGGAAGTAATTAACTAAGTTTATGGATGATATATACTCCCTCCGTTCCGAATTACTTGTCTTGGATTTGTCTAGATACGGATGTATCTAGACTCATTTTAATGCTAGATACCTCCGTATCTAGACAAACCTAAGACAAGTAATTTGGAACGGAGGGAGTACTAAGTTTATGGATGAGGATGATACTACCGGTTTGGTTTCCCCTATCAATCAAGAACAAGAAAGCGAATCAGTCCTTGAGAAGAGGAGAGGAGAGGAGAGGAGAAGCAAGAAACGGCGGTACCTTCCTTGAGCACGACCGTAGATTCGGTCGGAGGAGATAGAGAATAGACCAGAGCCGCCGCCGCCGCCGCCGCCGCTCGACCTCGCCGGAGAGGAGAGGAGAGGAGAGTGTAGTAAACCCTAGAGCTAGTCTCGCATTTCTACTTCGTCTCGCTCGTCTCTGTAATTTCCAGCGGAGCGGAGCGGAGGAAGGTGTGGGCTGCAGCGCCGCCTCGCTCACATGGCCCAGCCAGGAGGAATGTCCCAGGCCGACGGACGCTATTTTCGGCCTTCTAGACCTTTTTTGTTTACGAAAAACACAGGGAAAAAATCTACAATAAACAATATAGAATTTTTTGTTTGGAATTTCATAACATTTTCCATTTTTAACTTTTTTTTTCAAGAATCCAAAAAATGTTCACGGTTTCAAAAATTGTCGGAATTTCATAAATGTTCACAACTTCAACAAATTTGTTTGCGCTTTTCAAAAACAAAAATTGTCCACACATTCAAAGAATGTTCATGCTTTCAAAAAATATTTTGAATTTCCAAAAAATGTTTCCTGTGTTTGAACATTTGTTCACAAATTCAAAAAATGGTTGCACTTTTTTCAAAATATACACTTCAAAAAAAAATCCTCAATTTGTTTTAAAAATGTCCGCTATAGTAACTAATTCCGGATTGCTACATTGGCATGCTCTGATTCGCTACATTAACTGATTCCGGTTCGTTATAGTGACGCGGCCCTGTTCCGTGGCTCCGGTTGGTTCAATAAGGTACACACCGCCTTACAATCAACAACGCTAGTCAGATGTTCAAAAAAAAAACGCTAGTCAGCTCCGATGCCCTGGAACACACATTCACCAGCGGCTCGTTACCAAGTCGATTCCTCGCCAGCGCGCCAAGCTTGCGAGTTAGTCATGGAGGATCAAGATCCCAAGAAGATGATAACAAGAGAAGAGTTCAAGTAAAGAATTCATTATGTATCTCAAAACATTGTGATATGATGTATGTACGCGTCTATGGGTGACGATGGTGTTGTATGCGGCCTTGCCATCGCCGTAGCCTCACTGTGTGTCCACCGCTCCTTGCCAAACTACACACTTCTCCGCGTTGATGCCACACTCACACTATGTTGCTCCCCGTAGCTTGCGCCCCCGTTGCGTCTCCATCGTCATCAACGTCATGCTCATGAACCATATTTGCAGCATCCTGTTGATGAGTTGTTGTTGGCTATCCATGTTCGACATGGCGTGTTGTACCTGTATTCATGCAGGGCCGTCTCTAGGAATTCGGGGCCCCGGTGCGAAATGATACGGGACCCAAAAGTTTGCAAAAAAAATTTGTATAACTAATATAACTAGACATTTTTTCACTTAATTATATAGCTTTGAATATGATTTATTTCGTACAATATTTGGAAATATATCATGTAATAATGCTAATTAAAAGAAAGCATAGTACTGAAACAATAAACTTCTTATTTTGTGAACTGTATTAAAACAGTAAACTCACGTATGTTCTACGACAAGCATCATCCGTCTAGTATTTCTTGAAAGAAAATCATTAATATGTTAGTAGTGTAGCAGGAGAGCACAGGACGAAAAATTAGTACTAGATGTAGAATTAGGAATTAGATTACTGGTAGTGTGTTAATCCAATTAATTTTGATTAAAATTAAGTAGATGCCTAATAGAGTAGCACTGTTGTACTAGTAGGAATTGCATTCGAATATTTGATAAGAGATGAAAACATCAAAAGGACCAGAAAGAGAAGGATTGTATCAAAAAAGAGATAACCCTAACTAGGGATTGCTTTGCTAATATACTTTGATTCTAGGCCTATGGCTTACGGCTAAGCTCGGAATATATTCGAAGATGACCAGATGAGGCTGCTGCGGTAAGGAAACAGGCGGAGATGGTGGGACGCACCGCGGACTCGCGGTGGGGGCGATCACCATCTACCGGCGGCTCATCCTCTCGTTGAAGCAGGTAGGCGGTGGTGCGACCCCTCCCTATTCTCGCTGATTCTTGCTCCCAGACTTATGTTGAAGTGCCTTTCATTTAACAGGTGGCTGCAAATGAAGAGCCGAAAGGGATGATGAAGACATGGATGTATGCAACATCCTATTGTTTACTAGATTGTTTTCAAGATATATATGGACGTGAGCAATGTAAGACGAGATGATGGATCTTATGGATGTCAGCAATGTCCCAGATGACATCGATGAGGAGGAACCACTTCTATTTAAATTTCATATATAGTTGAGTCTGATCCAGCAAACTCTCCGATTTATCAGTCCTAGATTTTTCTGAATCATTTCTTTGGCACTTTTGCGAAACTTCACTACTTTTGTGTCATGTTCTCATTTTTATGTTGAAAAATGCAGAGCTTGATGCTTTGGAAGCTGATATGGGCTTCGAATCAAACTCAGTCCCATCGTACCTCCAACCAGACAACGTTCAACAGTGCACTTGATGATCCGAAGTGGAAGAAGGCGATGGATGAGGAATATTCAGCACTCATGAGGAACAAAACCTGACATCTTGTACCAAATCAGAGCGGTAAAAATATCATTGATTGCAAATGGGTGTACAGGATCAAAAATGGGCAGATGGCTCCATTGACAGGTATAAGGCACGTCTAGTTGCAAAGGGCTTTAAGCAACGTTATGGCATTGACTATGAGGACACGTTCAGTCCTGTTATGAAAGTTGCAACTATCACACTTGTGCTGGCTATTGCTGTGTCCAGAGGATGGAGCCTAAGGCAGCTAGATGTACAGAACGCGTTTCTGCATGGCGTTCTGGAAGAGGAAGTGTTTATGAGACAGCCACCTGGGTATGAGAGTAAGGAATTACCACATTATGTTTGCAAGCTTGATAAAGCACTTTATGGTTTAAAGCAAGCACCCAGAGCATGGCATTCCAGGCTAAGCTTACAATTGAAATATCTTGGCTTTATTGCTTCCAAGGTTGATACGTCCTTGTTTATTTACAACAAGGCAGGAGTGGTCATTTTTGTACTCATATATGTGGATGATATCATAGTTGCAAGTTCCTCACAAAATCCACTAATGCTCTTTTGCATAATTTGAGTTCAGAGTTTGCCTTGAAAGATCTAGGTGATTTACATTTCTTTCTAGGCATTAAAGTCAAGAAAACTCAAGATGGCATTGTGTTAAGTCAGGAAAAATATGTCAATGAGCTTCTGTCTCGCATGGGAATGAAGAATTGTAAGCCAGTTCCTACACCTTTATCTTCCTCAGAAAAACTCTCTGCATATGAAGGTGAGCCACTTCAAGAGGAGGATAGCACAAGGTATAGGAGTACAGTGGGAGCATTGCAATATTTAACTCTCACACGTCCAGATATTTCATTTGCTGTCAATATCTTCATGCACCTACTTCTGCACATTGGGCAGCTGTCAAGAGAATTGTGAGATATGTGAAGCACACTATGGGAATAGGACTAAATTTCAGAAGGTCTAATTCCTCTCTTGTTAGTGCATTCTCTGATGCTGACTGGGCAGGATGTAGTGATGACAGGAGATCAACTGGAGGTTTTGCAGTGTTCTTTGGATCAAATCTTATCTCCTGGAGTGCTAGAAAGCAAGCCACTGTGTCACGCTCAAGCACAGAAGCAGAGTACAAATCCTTGGCGAATGCAACTGCTGAAATTATTTGGGTTGAGTCACTCCTTGATGAGTTGGGAGTTAAGAAAAATCATATCTCGTGCTTATGGTGTGATAATTTGGGAGCAACGTATTTGTCTGCAAATCCAGTGTTTCATGCAAGGACAAAACACATAGAGATTGACTTTCACTTTGTGCGAGAAAGAGTTGCAGCAAAGAAACTTGAGATACGGTTTATTCCCTACAAGGATCAAGTAGCAGATGGCTTCACAAAGGCACTTTCAGCAAGACCATTCGAAGAGTTCAAGAGTAATCTTAATTTAGGATAGTTGAGATTAAGGGAGGGTGTTAGAGAAATATGTAATCTCAACCAAACTTCTCTCTCTCCGTATCCTCCTCAAACTCTTGTACCTTCTTGTATGCCAAGGCAGGCTCCTGCCGATCGCTAATATATACGATGCCTCTCCCCATCGAGGGAGTAGGGAGATCGCACATTATCTTACAGGGTAAAATATTTTCACAAACATTTTATTGTGGGCAAAAAGAAGAGAGAGTATAGGGAGGAGTCTCAAGTTTGCGGAGCCTTGATGATAAGGGGAAACAGATGTTGCAATAGATCTAGAAACACAACACCGGAATAATGGTCGAACTGCAGGTTAGAGGCACACTATTGTCATCTGAAAAGCCTTCTTTCCTTGCAGTTCCTTGAGATAAATTACTGACTAAATAGCAACGGCACTGCCAGCATTATTACAGACAAGAAATAGTATGGAGTAATTTTTCTGAATTCCCTCACAACTGCTAATAATCAAATTAAACAGCAGAATGGCCATAAATGTGGGAAAATCAAACTGCACAAACAAACATCAAGGTAGAAAGAGCCTGGTCATCATAAATCTCACATATGAAGCTGAGTCCCAGTCATTGGTTTTATCTAGCAAATGGATGAACAAACAAAGCAAGAGTTAGCAGAATGCAGATCGTCAATGACAGAGACATTTTTCTGGATACAAAATGGAAAACCAAGGAAGGTAAACGCGGTCAGAGTCTTACCACTTGAGGTTTTGGACATGCGCTTATTCTTTTTCCAGATTGCATGTTCTGCAGTTAACTCATCATTGCAGCCATCAAGTTCAAATACCTCAAGAGACTTGGGCAGTGTTGGAAGGGATCGGATATTCAAGCATTTAAAAATCCTTAGCAACTTGAGCGATGTTAGGTTCTCCATATTGTCTGGTAAGGTATCCCAACTGCAGTATATAAGCCAGAGCTCACGAAGATGGTGGAAAGTCTCAAGTTCAAGACAAGGTGCCGTTTGGTTACATCTCCAGAAGTGAAGTTGCTGCAGGTCCTTTGGGCCACAGTTATGCCGACCCACCATCCAATCTGGGTATCTCGAACCATCGTAGCAACAGATGGTCAGTGATTGAAGCCCTACAGGCGGGCATAAACCCTCAAGCACCTCTGCTTCATCTTTTGGACTGCACCTTGTGCCACCACCACGAGCCCATACCAAATACAGTTCAGTGAGTTGTTCCTTGACAGCTAGATTGGCTTGATCTGCTTGCTCCTTGCTTTTTACATTTTCAAGCCCATCAATCATCAGTGTGCCGCGAAGCTTGTTTAGATACCTCAGCTGCTCTACCTCATACCCTTCTTCATCCCTTACTCTGAAGTGTGGTAGCGTTTTGAGTGATATCATCCTCCCTATGTGAGGGAAATAACAGAATTGGCAGATTATGTGCAGCAAGTTGATAAGGCAGCCAGTAAATTTAGGATTCACAATTGACAGGCAGCCAAAATCTAACTCCTGGATATGGTGAAGTTTATTTAGGGTGCTTGGTAAAATTACCGCCCATGCGGAAGACCTGAAACCAAGATAGCGTAGGTGCTTTAACTGACCAACAGATTTGGGGAAGCTGAAAATTCTGTCGTGGTCCTCAAAGATTGTATTAGAGAAATGAATGATCAGTACCCTCAATTTCAGCAGTCTCTTGCATATACTCTCAATTACCATTTCCTCAACTGGTGTATCACTTCTAACGATGTAAATGATGAGAGTGCGTAGGTTTTTCAACCGAAGAACCATCTTAATAATCAATTCCGCATCATAATTCTGAACAAAAAGATAGCGGACATCTCTGCTCCAGCCTTCTTCTTTCTCGATTCTTGAAGGACCTTCATCTTTCTCGATTCTCCAAGGACCTTCTTCCTGGCTCCTTTCATTCTCGATTCGGAAGCAGTCGCTTCCGACGACCTCGTCCAACAAATCATGCAGCAGATCATGAATTGTAAAGCAATCATCACGCCCCATAGTTGGTTTCAGAAACGAGCATGAAGCTAACTTTTGAACATAGCCCTCAGCTATATCTTCCATGTCCTCTGATGCACTAGGCTTTACAAACCCTTGCGCTATCCACAAGCGCACTAAGTCCTCTGTTTTCAAGTTGGTTCTTCGGGGGAAAATATTGCAATATTCTAGGCACCTCCTGATGTCCAGAGGAAGCTTCTGATAGCTCCACCAAAGTGCATCCCAGGTGTTAACAAACTTGCTGCGCTTTGCAGTCCTTCTCCAAAATTCAATACGATAGTCCAGCCGAAGCTGCCCTGCCACTATTACTGCTGCAATAGGTGATTTGGGTAGCTTTTCTGCAATCAACCTCCCAAGTTTTTTACGTTCTTCGTCGTGTTCATGTTCTCCTTCAGGACTCAGTGCATGGTGCATAAACATCTCATAGAACCTCTCCTCATGCATATCAGGCATTACAGTAATGTTATCGTCACATAGAACTTTAGCTGCCGTGTCTATTTGAGCAGTCACCAGGATTTTGCTTCCTTGCTGCCCAAGATCCAGTGGAGAGAGTAGCTCGTTCAGCTGTTTGTTGGTCCTTTCCTCTGCCCAGAGATCATCCAATATCAAGAAGAAACATTTGCCACGCAATGAATTTTCCAACTTGTCTTTCACATTCTTACCTTGCACTGATTCCTCTAACTTCTCTTGCAGCTTCTCACCATCAGAAATATTGGTGTGCTGTTCTCTGGCAATATCATCCAGCATTTTCTGAAATATACCATCCACACTGGAATTCTTGGATAGGTGGACACACATGATGGGGTCAAATTGTTTTTGGTTCTTTATGTAATCTCTAGTATATCGTGCAAAGGTAGTCTTCCCAGAACCTGAAACACCATGAATCCCAAACGCCGAGTAACATTTACCTGAGCTGGTTGGTTGGTTGAGAAGCCTTTTTACGACCACATCAAGCAAGCTCTGTCGGCCAAATACCATCTGATTGCTAGCAGTTGTAATGTTGGGCCTATTCTTGTTGGCAATATCTTCCAGTTCGCTCTCCTTTGCTACAACATAGAGTGGTGACTTCTTCACATCATCGCCCGTGCTTTCTATCTTCTTTATTTTTCTCTTCAGTTTCCATATTGAGATAACAGTAAGAACAGAATCTAACGCACTGGCATCCTCCTGCAAGAAACAAAAAAACAATCTAATTAGCATGCGGGCCGTATATCTATTCTGCCTATCAGTGATAAGTTGAAAATAATATAAGAACTAAACTACGTATGAGCATGAGAAAAAACCACATGAAAACATTGGTCTTATTCTGAACATCTCTTGGCGAAGAAACGGACTGGTTATGACAATAATAATGTATTGTGGAGAGTTTATACTATTATGTTATAAAAGATGGAGGCCACCCGCAAAAAAAAAAAGAAAAAAAAGGAAAGATGGAGGCCAAGATCAACCTCTCCCCCCATCTCTATCTCTACCTAATATTAAAGGAAGGATTTGTTTCTCCATAAAATTTCGTTTATGGTGGGACCCGCAAAGATTTTTCATCCGTCCCTGTTCGTTTCTGGCAAAAAATAATACGACGCATAGAGCCGGCCCATCAGCAGACGATGCAGTAACCAACTCCGAAAAACTAATGCGCCTCAAGGACTCGAACCAAGGAGCTCCCGCTAGACCGCCTAGATTGCTAGCCACCGAAATACTCCCTCTGTAAACTAATATAAGAGCGTTTAGATCACTACTTTAGTATTCTAAATGCTCTTATATTAGTTTATGGAGGGAGTAAAAAACATCTGGTCATCAGTAAGAGCGCACTCCAGCATATGTAAGAGCGAACGCTCCTCATGATCTCCATCTAGCGAACGAATTCTTTGTCCATTAGAGCTGCCTCCAAGAGGAGACGGGACCACTGCAGCGACTAGTCCTCGTCGGAGGAGGAGCCCACCCTCCTAGATGCAGATGGTCCCGGTGAGTGAGGGTGGCGACGCCATGATCTGCCTGGCGAGGAACTTCCACCGGCGTCGCCTGCCGGTAGGGCTGGAAAAAAAGCTCGCGAGCTCGCGAGCTAAACGAGTAGCTCGTGACTCGGCTCGAATCGACTCGAGCTTTAGTTTAAGATCGTTTATAGGCCAAGTTAAATGAGCCAATCTCACGAGTACTCGTGTAACTCGTTAGGCTTGATACAAAAGATCAGCCACTCCAATACAAAAAAAGATCAGTCATTTAGTGCCCTATGTCCCAAGCGCACAACACAAGGCCCAGCCATTGAAAGCCCAGCCGCCTAGGAGACTCATGGTTACTAGGAAATTACAATTATTTAGTGATATATGTGTTTAATATATACATAATAATTTTTATCATAATTGAGGGTTTTATGTTCATATCTTTAACGAGCTTAACAAGCTAAATGAGCCAGCTCGCGAGTTATACGAGTCCAGCCAATCTTGGGTTTGAGCTCGTTATAGTAACGAGTCGAGTCGAGCTAGCTTGTTAACGAAAAAAGCTCTAGTAAGTCGAGCCGAGCTGGCTCGACTCGGCTCGAATTCCATCCCTACCTGCCGGTGTGAAGTACAAGAACTTCGGCATCGCCTCTGGACTCGGAGAGGAGGAAGGGCTTGGCGAGGGGGAGAAGGACGGTGCGGTGCTTGGGACAGAGAGTGTGGATCTATTCGTCACCAATGATGGCTTAAATAGCCGCGACCAGGCCAGGCAGAGGGGCGGTCAGCCCGCTTCAATGCGGCGCAGTGGACGGAGTTGGTTTCTCGGGACGTGGGGTCACATAGTAGCAGCGATGCCCAAGAGGTCGCGTCCATCTGCGCCGCCTTCCCGTCTGGTCAAATAACAGACATCAATGTCGGCCGCTGCATGCTCTTGGACAGCATGCATGTGACATGACAAGTGGTGCGGCGCGCGGGATGGAAAGCGTGGGAGGGGCAGGTGGGTGGTTTGGGTGGGCTAGGATGGTCAGACTCAGGCTTGGAGCGGCCCGGATGCCCGAAAGCGCCCCCTGCCCACACGTTTGTCTCCGATTTGCGGGAGAAACACGACTGGACCGCTCGGCGAACTGACATAGGTCCATGTTGGATGGTTTCCGCGGTCCGGGCAGCACGGTCTGGACGTATGCAGGCGGTTTGAGGGTCGGCATTGGAGATGCCCTAATATTGTACAACAAAAAAGGCTTTTGTTTGTATAATTGTAGAATCAGTTCCCTTAAATATTCAATTTAGATGGGTCTTTGTGGGAGAGCGATCAGATAGATGGCTACATCTTATGCGCATGTTTGATGCACGTCAACCTTTTTGATGAGCCAGTTACACTATGCTGGAAACTCTCTGTGTCATGGGTGCAGCTCTCTGTGTCATTGGTGTTCTCCGTGAGTCTATGAATACATACTTGATAGACATTGGTCCAATCCAAAATTGCTACACATTTAGAAAATCAAGGTGCCCCTAAAGATAAAAGCTTTTATGTGGTTCATGCCCAAAGAAGTGGTCTTGACTAAGGACAACCTGGCAAAACATAACTGGGAGGGTAGTAAATGATGTTGTTTTTGTGATCAAGATGAATCAATGCAACATCTGTTTTTAGACTGTCCACTTGCCAAGGTACTATGGCGCACAGTGCATGTGGCCTTTAATGTCGGTCCACCGGATACCATGACCACTCTACTTGGAACTTGCTTAAACGGGGTAGGGCCCAAATTAACGGCGCATATTCGAGTTAGAGTGTATGCATTACTCTGGGCCATATGAAATTGTCAGAACGATGCAATTTTTAAGAGACAACACACTACAATTTTTCCCCAGGTAATCTATAGAGCGATTGGCTGGATCTGTACGTGGTCGTTACTCAGCCGTGCAGAAGTCAGGGAATATATGGCTTATGGGTGCAACCGATGGGAGAAGGTAGGACGGGATACCCACAACTGGTTTAGATGGCGGTCAAGCAATAGGATTTGTGTACAGTCATCGAGTCCTATTTTCGTCAATTGTGGCTTTGATGTCCTCGTCCTTAACTCTTGATGATTTTTGTATCGGACTACATTACTGTTGGATCATTTGGTTAAAAAGGTACCTGCATGCATCGCTTTGATGAAGAGGTCGGGGTAAACCTCATACTTTTTTTAAACATCCATTATACTTGCATATTAAATGTAAATATAGTGGTGTCTTGTATTATGGGGCAGAAAGAGTAGCATTTAATTTGAAAGAGTATATATTTTTATGATATTTTTTCATTTCTATGACAATATAAGATGAGTACGTTTCAAACAAAAATATTTATCCCTACCCTTTAAACACGGTACTTATTTTGGAACAAAGTTAGTAACAATGTGCGGATCTGCCTTCCCGACAATAATATGGGGCCAGTTTATAAACTAATAACTAGTAGTACTACCTTTCTCCGGGTTTATTGGTGCCTTTCGTATTTTGTGCCCAACTTAGACTGTAGACTTGACTAGTAAATTATAAGTTATATGTGACAAAACTTATATTGTTGGATTTATATTTGAAAGATGTTTTCAATGATACTATTTTAAAGATATATAACTTATTTTTTAATAATTAAACCAAGGTCAAAATTTGACCCAAACAACAAGAAGGACTAATAAACCATGACGAAGGACGTACGTATCATATTTGAAACTAGGTGGTCGTCGTACATACCTTGTGACTTGTGAAGCCAATACCCTCGCAGGTTTCGTCTCGAAAAGTAGTCGCGTTCTCCGATGCATTGTGTATGGAGGTGCGGCAACGAGAGAGCCATGGCCCCAAGGAAGCAATCCACATGCTGAAACGAGTAATGCTATTCTCTGGGACTGCTCCCTGTGAGGCGGCATCATTGGTATCCAACAAAGCTGGTTCGTCTGGAGCAAGTTCACTTGTAGTCCGAGGTTCAGCCTCTGGATGTATCTCTGCTGGGATTGTTTCATCTAAGGCAGAAACATTGGTCCCTGGAACGCGCTGGTGAGAGTGGGTAACATTATTGTCGGTCACATGAAGTCTATCGTCTGGCCCATGCAAGAGAGCAGAAGTACTAGGTTCATCTGAGACGGTGCCCTCTGAGCAAATCTCTGGTACTGGTTCGCGTGAGGTTCCATCTGAGTCCACCACACGTTCTGAATATATCTCCGGGTCCGGGAGCGCCGTTTCATCAGAGGCAGCAACACTGGTCCCTGTAACGGGCCGTCTGTACTCTGGAAGTCTATGGTTTGACCCACGCAAGGCCAACATCGATAGGCGGGTCCTTGCACTCTGGAGGATGTCTGCAATACATGTGCAGCTTATGTTGAAGCCAGCAACACAGGTGGCCACGGCGCTGGATATCATCTGCGCCCATTGCAGTAGGCTATCAAATCCACTCCGAACGATTTGCGTAACCGGCATGCAGATCACAACACAGGTGGCCGCCGCATTGGCAGTCACCTCCGAGAGACGGAAGGATATCTTCCGCACCCACCGCCATAGCCAAGCCTGTCCGCTCCAGACGATGGGTGCAATCCACCCCCAGCCGATGTTCAATCCGCTCCAGAGGCACTGCGGAAACGTGTTGCGGTACGACTCGATCTCCTGCTGATCATCGGAGATGTCTTCCGCATCCTCAAGGGCGTGCCTCAGCCTGGCGGCCATCTTGTTCAGCATGGCCAGATCGTCTTTCTCTTTACTTTCTCGCTCCATCATCCTTGCTTGATCTACGCCACACAGCGTCTTCTTCAGCTCCGGGATGATGTGGGTCTCCAGATCTGAGAGCCTCTTGGACGCGCCCAAGCCGATTGCGGAAAGGATCTTGGGAACATAATAGGCTAAGATGGGGTTGACGAACCAGGCAACCATGAGCGAGGTCAAGCCGACAATCCAAGGAGTATCAGGTCTCATGTTACGCCGTGGATCTTCTATCTTTCTTTCTTTCTTTCTTTCTTTCTGGGAAATAAGATTCAAGAAAAGAGTGAAATGGGGAACTTTTGTTTTGGCGCATGGAGCTGCCAGCGACTTAAAGAGAGAGGGGGAGAAGCGGTTTGGAAAGATAGGTACCTTGCTCGCCGACGAGGACCAGAAGAACACTCCAAGTCCGGCGGTGCAGCAGTGGTCGCTGGTGGTGATGGGAGTAACTGCGGTGTGCGCTCTCGACCGGCCGGGAGCTTTGGTTTACGCGTGGGAAAGAGCGAGAGGGCGCTGCATTGCATGTGGGTGGGGTGCATAAAGCTAGCATTGTGTGTGGTACCTACCACACGCTCCTGCATGTGGCATCGAGTCAAGTGGAGGATAAAGCTAGCGGCGGCTGTTTTACTTTCCGACCGCGCGCACCAGGAAACCTGCGCAGAACTACTGAACTTGGTACCTCTCTGAGTTGTTTTTGTACTTTTATTAGCAGAACGAGGCAAATTTGACAGATTTGACCTATAGACGAAATCAAATCACAGAATGAACTGTCCGTGAAACTATTTCACGCGGCTGACCTTTTTGTGTAACGCCCGACACGACGGCGCCACACTACACTGTGCAACGCCTCAGAGATAGGCGCTACACGGCCAGCGTCGCATCCGTGTGTTCAGAAAATTACTAAGTCAGTGTGCAGCGCCTGAGAGCTAGGCGCCACACTATACAGTGTAGCGCCTAGCTCCCGGGCGTTGCACTAGTGCAGCGCCTAAGAGCTAGGCGCCACGGGTCAGCCGCGTGAAATAGTTTCACGGACAGTTCATTTTGTGATTTGATTTCGTCTATAGGTCAAATCTGTCAAATCTGCCGAAGAACGCACACAACGAGGTAATTCCAATGGAATGATTCCCGACAAGAGAGTCTCGCTTCTTGTAAAAAATACTTGGTCTACCGTACGACGAGGAAGAAAGAGTCGCTCCGGCTGGCATGCGTACGCAGTGTCTGCGTTCTGAATTTCTATTGGATGCATGTGCTCAAGCTTTCTAGTATTGCTATCTTTTTTTTAAACAAACTTTTCTCTACTACTACTCCATCCGTTCGAAAATACTTGTCGTAGAAATAGTTGTACTTAGATTTGTTTTAGTTATAGATACATTCATTTTATCCATTTCTAGGGCAAGTATTTTCGGACAGAGGAAGTATTAAACAAGCAAACATATTCCTCGCTAAACATACACAGCCTAACTTACACATAACATCCCTAATGAATAATAACCTCACGATCAGAATCACTTAATTCCATCTATCCGTCTAGGCTACACTAACCGTCAGCCCAGAGTACCTTCACCAATTTCTCATGGCGGACAAAAACTCTGCTGTTCCGCGGCCGCGTCCACCAAATACATCACAATCCACAACTCGATCGCAAATAGATACCTGATCGCGGGCGGGCGATGCGGACAATGCGGGGCGGCCCAACAGCTCGATGCAGGGACCGGTGATGGCCAACGTGTGGGCTCCGGCGGGGCTGGCGTGGATCTGGCGGATGGCAGCCGGATCGGGTCCACGACGGGCGGCTGCGGCGAGTCGGAGGGACGGCGGCGGCGGCTGAGCTCCTTCTTGGCCTGCTGCGTTTCCAGGGAGGGAGCCTCGAGAGTGAACCTCCGGTGGCGATGGCGCCGACGCGATCCTACGGGGCGGCGGCGGCTTCGACCTGCGAGAGCTCGAGCATTTGGATACATTTGAATCACATGCTAAAAGTTGTGCATAGTGGGTACGTTTTCATCGCTATCAAACCTGTCCTTACCAAATATTGGCATGATTTATCCCGCTGCTGGCTAGATATGAAGTATTAGCTACCAAATCAATGATTCTTTTTGTTTTTGGATTGCAAAAGATGGACTAAGTTGCTGCTTAAAATGGTGATTACGTTTAGAGCTGGAATTTGTGCTTGCTCAGACATGGTGTCTTTGTAACTACACAAGTTCACTGGTTCCTGCTTACAAATGTTTGCAATTTTTTAAATAAAAACTGCATCAGGAGTTGGAATGGACGTTGTTGGTTCAGTGGGCGTGGTAGCATTAGGTGCAACTGACACGGCAACTGTCGCTGGGTTGACTGGTGCTGCAGTAGGGCTGCTGTTGTTGGCGGGTTAACTGCTGAAAAAGGGTGTTGCAAAGGATGGAGTAACTACTGCTGATCATTTAGTACAAGATTTCTACAACTTTTGCTTCAGCAAGAACCTTTCAGATTGACTACAGTTGGAAATTGCTCTTTCTTGAACGGTTATGCCTTGCATGAAAAAAGGATTCTCTTTTCCTTTTGTTTTTTGTTGATCAAGCATTCAATCCTTGCACGGAGAGCAACGTAATTGACTTACTGTTTTGTTGTTTGGCTAAACCAAAGTTCAGCTACACTTAGAGTTAGAACTCAGTATTCAAAATCAGACGAGATTGGCAATCTGGCAGAAAAGACCAGGAACTTACACTAGTAGAGGAACGGCCTTTAGTTCCGGGTCATCAACCGAGACAAATAAATCGAGACTAAAGGCCCCGACCATTTAGTCCTGCTTGACCACGACCCGGGACACTAGTAGAAACAAGGCACTAGCCCGGTTCCAGAGGGCCTTTAGTCCCGGTTCTGCAACCGGGACAAAACGGGCGGGACTAATGCCCACAACCTTTTAGTCCTGGTTGGCTTACGAACAGGGACTAAAGGAGCTCCATGTGGCTGCTGTGGGGGCGCCCAGGCAGGAGGACCTTTAGTCCC